AGAGAGAGAGAGAGAGAGGAGAGGAAAAAAGAACTAGCGCGAGGGAAGAAGTGTACAACTGGAATACAGTTGGCAAGCCGAGTTTCAAGCTCGTCTTTAATACTTCGCCTTTCTGGTTCTGGCGCAAGGGGGTTGGATTTTTAGTCCTTGAATCGAAGCTACTCGGCAACAGGATGCACACCTGTGGAGGGTAAAGAATTTTTACGGAGCGCATTATTTTCCAACATGGCCTCCTCCGTTTCCTTCTTCACGGTCTCTTCCCTTTCTCTCTTTCCTCTCCTCTTTGCCGGGTTCACCGACGCCAGTAAACCTGTACCGCATTTCTTCCTTTTATCCATCCTCACGAGTGCTCGGCTCTTAAGGTGTATTCACAATCGTGTAACTATATCGTCTTCGCTATAGAAACAATAGACCAGAAAATCCGCCGGGAAGAATTCGCGTGCATGCAAATATCGCTGCTTTCGCTCGGCTACTTTTACCATTTCACGCTTGTCAGCTTGACGACGTTATGTCACTTGATTATCCGGCAGATTTCACGTCGCTGTACGACATGCAATATCGTGTCGGTGTAATGAATTAATCTGCATTTAACAAGGTCTTTAAATTACTGAACTGCGTAATTTACTTGATATGCTTGATATGTAGACTTTCGCTCAGGAGATTCGAACACCGTTTGCTTTCTAGATGAAATAATATCGAATATTCTTTAAAAAAAAAAAAAAAGAAAAACAAAGTTTAAAATATTTAACACACTAATAATTCACGATGAACTTTCGTGGAACAATTGTGCCACGAGTGCGTCAAAGGTCAACTAATTAATGTCGATGCGTTAAGAAGTTGCATCGCTACAAGAGTTATCATGATTGTCATAATTGTGAGTTGAAACATATTTAACTACAATATATGATAAACTTTCGTGGAACTATTGTGCCACGAGTGCGTTAAAGGTCAATTACATCGCTAGAAGAATTACTACGACTGTAATTTCTTCGAAACTATGGACCATGATCCTGTTCTCTGCTGCAGGAGTGGCTATTCGCATTGAATTAGCAGGGCGTGAAGCCACTGAGAACGCATGATAAACGAGACTACATTCTATATTCTATATTTCATTCGCCTCTTTCGTTTCATAATACTTCCACAGTTTTAAGGAAAGGAGGCTTCCTTTCCACGCCACGACAATGAGCAACGATGGACGAATGTGTGATGCAGCTGACGACCCAACGATCCTCAAAACACAGGTTTCCACGGTCGAGCAGAGCCATGCGACTGCGAGGAATGCACGGATGATTGCGGGACAGTGACCGTGACAGTGATATAGAAAGTGGGGCATGGTGCAGAGAATATTTCAAACGATTCGTCAACTGACAATGCGTAACACGTTAAATAGTAGTACTATGAATTTCAAATAATTTCTCCTTCGAAAGATCTGCTGCTGTAATTCAACGAATTTTTTAATCCACCTATCCGACTTTACCTTTCAAGAGGCATCGCGAGAAAGGAGAAGAGTGATTGATGGTAAAAAAAAAAAAAAGAAAAAATACAACTCGCTGAACACGCAGCACGTTCTAATAGCGTTGTTGAAAAGTGTTTCAGCGGCGCGGCGCGGCGTCCACGAAATTCTCTCGAGTCAGTCGAGGAGGAAATTCGAGGTAATGCGCAGATCCACCGCGCAACACGTAGGCCGATCCTCTTTTCGAGTTCGAACGGCGTCGTGCGCGTTCGTACGAATCATACGGCCGGTCCGAGCTCGATTAGCACGCTGTTTAATTCGTGGTTCCTGCTCCTCCGTGTATTCGATCGATCGATCCACGCATCGAGCAACGCGATCCTCGATCCGGCCCCTCGATCAGGAAAATTCTTCTTTCCCCGGGAGCGGATTCCCCGTCATCTGATGAAGAGAATCACGTGATCGTAACCGGTTCGATAATGCGGCCGATTGGTTGGACGTTGGCCTGCGCGTTGCTCGCCGCTACTTTTCCAAAAAGTGCAATCCTGCCAGGCGTGCAAAGTGTTGGTGTCGCTACGTTGTCGTACCAGCGTGAAGCTGGACGCGCCAATGTCACCAAATCGCTGCCAATAATTTCCAAGGATGCGAGCGTAGATCCCGATATCCAGAGGCTGAGCAAGTTCCACGACGACGTACTCGTTGGTGGAAGCAACGAGGTTCAAGGTAAGCTCGAAATGCTCAAATGTCATTTGAATTATTATTATCATCATTGAACGTCATTTGATCGCCAAATAAAGAGACAATCAAACGAGATGTTGAATATTTAGAAAAGGCAAGCAGACAAGCTCGAACGTTCGGTCATAAGCGAATTCAGTTTATGTTGATGCCGATGATGTACAAAATGGGAGTGATGATGACGATGTTAACTGTATTAACGCTGATCTCGCTGAAGGGGTTGCTCATTGGTAAGTGCCTCTTTCTATGTAGCTACTTGTACTTACGAAAAGATAACGGTTCAGCCGCGATAGCCCGTACGTTACGTGCATAGAAAATCAGGAGACATCGACGACCCGATTATCGATAAATGCCCCTCGAGACCCGCTATAGAGACGACAGACTCGCTACGTGTAGTTGAGGAGGAATTTTTCCTGTCGCGAGATAATTCCAATGTAAGAATTATTGATTATTGCAGGTGCCATACTACTGATGCTAAAACTCAGCACGATAATAGCCAAGTTCTCCTCCGGTTGGCAGCACGGTGCACAACCTGCTCACAGTGCTCAACCGATCCACGTGCACGTACACAATAGCCTACCGGTCGCTCACAATCAAGCGTACAGCGGCTGGATGTCGGCAAGCGGACCAGAAGACGCGGGAGAGCATCACTACTACTACAGAGGATGAATATCTCGACGATAGCCTTCTCTCAGAAGCTGTCTCTTCGATCGTTGGCCATTCGAACGAGGCTATCGCACGATTGGCTTACCACGATTGGCGATTCACGTTTCAAGAGAAATAGAACGATCGCGTTGCGGTTTTCGAGCAGACGTCGACGATACCAGAGCTCGTTCTCTCGCGTACCAAAGTTCGGTTTAAATATTCTGAAAGTAAGACTGGCTCGTGTCGTGTCGCCCCAAACCAAAATTCCAAGCTCGTACGTTTAAGCAACAATCTCAGGTTTTACCTCAAGCTAGCGATAATGTTTATTTAATTTTGTAAAGAAGCTGCGTCTCTCCTCCTATTTATACGAAACACATGTACCATCGTAGAATGTATTTATTAAATCGTTTTCTTTTTTCTATGAAATTTTCCTTTGTAATTTCGTCTTCTGTCTTCTTTTCTAAATTAAGTTCAACTTAATCAAGTCGTAGAAAATTTCCAATGTTCAATTCTTCTCCTTCTTCTTCTTTCTTCTTCTTCTTCTTCTTCTTTTTCTTCGACGATAGATCGAAAAGCGGTGAAGGATTGCGTTCTTAACGGTGAGGAAGCAAATTTGAATTTTGCGCGTTTCAAGGTTCGCTTGGAGGAACTCGTACGCGTCCGCAGCCAACCGGCGTGTTCATCACGCCTTCTATGACATGAATGTCGCGGCAACAGACTGCAGAGACCCAGTTTACTGGCCTTAGTGGGGTAAGCAAACGCGAAAAAAGGAACGCGTCTGTTCCCCACTTGCTAGAATTTACATCTAGTAGTATTCTCGCCGATCTGATGCAAGCACGCGCGTGTCATCCGCCGCTTATCAAACAACTATGAAAGATCAACGTTGATCCTTCGAAGCCCGCGAAACATTTTGCCAGCCCTCCACCAAATAACAATTATTATTTAAAAATCCGAGATAACTCGAACGTTGTTCCGGCAGTTGTGTCAACAAACGAAAGCGAAATAAATATTGAGCGAGGTATCCTTGTTTCCTCTGACGATCGATACCGATAGAATGATAAAGGAAAAGGTAAGGCATGTATGAGGAATTAATTATCGTCGATTAGAAAGGCGGCTGAAAGAATGGGTTAACGGGCCCGCGTTTGTATCGAGGAATGAACTTTCTAGGCGACCTAGCCATGAACGGAGTGGACGCAATATTTTGGTGTTCGTGTGTCGTCATTGTACTCCAAGCTTTGGCTCGCGCCGAGGATGTTGCAAGTAAGTCGAACGATAGCTTGAGGATCGACGTTACTCGAGGAATTGCACTGTACGTCGGTGACGACGAGGCGAGCGTTACACTGAGCCTGTCGTCTCTGTTCGAAAGCAGTAAGTAAAAAACCGTATCGAAAAATCGATATTCGTGAATGATGCGACCTGTTACAACTTCTTTTCAAGGGAACGGCGTGGAGAAGCAGAACGCGGGAAAATTGAAATTTAACAAAGACACGCTGAAAAGAATCGGAATGGCGATGATGATGGCCCCCGTAATGTGGCAGGTTTAGATTTAATTTACACTATGTATTATGTACTTCTAAATGAAAATTGAATAATTGAATTCGATAATTGGACTATTTAAAAGGCTTCAATACATAAAGTATTCTTTAAATCTTAGTTGGCAGCGTTACCAGGCGCCTTTGCCTCCATCAAGCTGGATCTGTTGCGCAGCATCATCGTCGGGAAAATTGCGCTGGCAGTGATGCTGTTTAACGCGCTGAGAAATTCTCAGAAGTCGGAAGTGGTACTGATCCACAAGCCTGAGTATCACGATCACTATTATCACACTTATCACGAACCGGAAGATAACTACGAAGCCTGGACGAAGTGAGGACGACACCAGTGAAATGGCACTTTTCAAGATGATTTACTTTATTCGAATAATTACTATTCCTGTGAAATGATATGTCTGCCTGTGATATACGTAACGTTCGCAAAAGAAGAATACACGATCTCGAAGGGAATGGCACCTGGTCAACTATAAAGGTAAAATTAAATTGGTTTTCAAGGGAACGTCGAGATATTGAAACGTCGAGGAAGCAACAACCATTCCGAATGACCTACTTCGAGTTGGTAACGGCATTTTGGTCCAGATTCTGAAGCGATTCACCTCCGTCTACGTACCAGTTTTCCCTTTTCTCTGCCGTTAAATTCAACGTCGAAATCGAAATTAAAACCGATGATGCCGATCGATTTCAACGGCGACTCTTGTTGCTCTCGCATGAACGCGATTTTATTCGATAAATTTCAATGTATAACGGTCGTAAAAAAGATACATGTATATATTTGTATACCTACGTACTGTGTGCTTTGTATAAAACACTTTGAAATTTTATTTAAACTGTAATTAAACAGGACTTATATTACATAGAGTTATATTAGTAGAATTTGAAATAAATCAGGAACAAGATATTTGTTATTTCGTAGAGATAATGAAACCATCGTATTAACGAGTCTGAATATTTAGTGGGGCTTTTGGCATTAATAATTATATTTAAGATCATTATTCACGCTGTGTACTAGTTTCTTGCACTATTAAATTATATTACAGAAAAATGTATCTAGTAAAAAATTAATACCATTCGTGAACTCTGTCTTTTTTGTTTTTTCAAAGAAAAGAAGAAATGTCCCAATATCTCTAACATCTCTTCAACCTTGACATCAATCAATCCGATATCTAAATCGTTTAAAGAATCACACACGACACGTTTTACAAAGCATTTCTGCAAATATTTTCGTGGACCAGCGTCTCGGTGCCGATATTTAAAAAAAATTCGTCACGTTCGCGATATTCGAATGCAAAGATTGCAGCAGCAGGTACGTCCCACTTCTCGAGGAACGAGCAAACTGCGTGCGTAACGTTTCCCAGCAGGCGTCCGATCGTTAGATACGGATATAGATCGATGGTTAGGCAGCACGTAACGAAAGTATTGTCAATGTCGAATTTATTTCCCCAAGGCCTCGATATTCGCGGTGCGTATACGTGCCAGAAACCCACCTTCCGTTCTTATAGTTAGTATGCCACCGCTATCGATCCCTACGTATCGACAGCTCGCCAATACGAATCGTAATCCTATACCGTTTTCTAAACTACAAAATGCACGATGCACCGCGCATACGTGGTAAATCAGAATAGAACCCGGATTAATCTCTGTATGCCTGCGGAGCTTAGATCACCGCCGCGCGACGTGAAAGCATTCGGCTTTTTCGCGCGATCGCGTTTCTAATTTGATCGTACCGTACAGAACACCAATTCATCTTCAACAGATCTTTACCGATCGTTCACTAATCGATGATCGATTACTTTCGATCACACAAATTATCAATGATTTGGTATTCAGTTTCTCATCGGAATGTAAGGATTTCTGACGAGAGAAATAGAAGATCAGAGGAAATAAACGAGATAAGTGATTAAATGTTGGTCGCACGTCGATAATTTTATCAGACAACGCGATATTTATATTTCAAGTATGGTGTTAATGGAGAAGACAATCACGACGTTTATTAATAATATTCTCCACGACAGAGTTCTCTGTCAGGCATAAAAGATTTCAACCTGTCGTACATCATCGTGCATTTGTTCAAGCACGTAAAACGCGCTTGAGAACTCTTGTCCGCGTTCGTTGCCAACGAATAATACAGTCAACGAAAGCCAACGAAAGCTAAAGGAATACTCGTTTCTTTGATTTTACAA